CGCGGTATGCGGTAAAAGTATTGTTGAAATAGCCATGCTTATTTGGGTTTTAGGGTTCAGGATATACGCAGCTTATAAACTGGTTGATAGCTTCAAGCCGGTATCAGGACCGTGTGATTGAACTATACAAATATAAGTACATGCATTGTTGTGAACACATAAACACATGTTTTGGTACATGTAGATGAATATGGATACGCTTAAATCAGGATCGCGCAGCTAAGAACGTGTGTTTCAATCTATATATGACGTCTGCGAGTAAGGATGTGGACAGCGGTAGACCCCAAACTAAACCGTAAATGCCAAACGTAGGATGCAAAAGGCAACGAAGAGTGAGGCTCTTGTGTTTGGGTCTTAGACAGGATGTAAGATTTTATGTCTTGGGTTTAGGGATCAAAGTTATAGGTTTAGGGTCGTGAGGGGGCTCCTATTCCAGCCCCGGCCGGGCTTAAGTCTTGAGGACGTGGGAATTAATGTAAGGAAATATGTGTCTTGGTCAGTGTAGGGATTCTTTCTTTTGGGGGTAAAGGGTTCATTTCAATGCAAGACATTGGCGTCTGAGCAATTTGCAACCATGCCCCCTTATAGCCCACATGTTGCAATATTTTCTAACATCTTTCTTCGCCCCCCAAGCATGCTCTCATCGCGAAGCCCCCTCCATCAGTGCGTTCTGCGCAGCCATTAACTCGCTAAGGAAGATACCTCAATCCTGCGGCGAGGCCATTGCGTAAGTTGCTAAACCCCTTACCTTCAAAGGACTCCTATGTTAAGGCCTTTGGGCCCAAAGACCCTATTATATAAGGCTTTTGGGCTATTTTGATGCTACGGGATGTCGAAGCCTCATATCTTCCAAACAATAATCACATGAACACTACACTCCCAAGAGCTACATCCCTATACACCTCAAAACGCAAGAGCGGCACATCAGAACTATCGGGGTCTGGCTGGGCAGGCAGACGTCCTCCTCCAGCAACCTCGGCTTGATGTGTTGTGGGGTTTTATAGGGTTTAGGGGTTAGGGTTTTGGGTTTTGGGTTTTGGGTTTAGGGTTTTGGGTTTAGGGTTTAGGTTTTGGGGTTTTATAGGATCTATGCTTCAGGTTTTCCCAATGGGCTTAGGATGCCTTCGGGTTTAAACCCTAAGCCCCAAATGTTGATGATATAAATCCTGCATTACCCATAATGAGGAATATACCATAATTCCCATAGTTTGGGGTCCTTAAGGTCACTCAGGATTTACATCATCAACCGTAGTGTGCAGCAAGCAAGCCCCCAAAATCGACCTTACACCCGAAACCTATAGAGCCCTGAGGCCAAATCGGCCATAGACCCGAAATAACTTCAACCTATTCAGACCTATTCAGGGTTTACTCAGAAGGACCCTTGGGGGGTTCGGGGGTCTAATGCCCACCGCATAGGGTTAGTTAAGGCAGTATAGTCCCCTACCCTCCTCCCCCTTACCCCCCTAAGATTCCTATGATTTGGACCACAACCCAGGCTCTCTACACGGGGTCGGATTAACGAGTCGTTATAGTATCCCATTGATGTCCCAAGTTTTACGTAGTGCAATCTACCCAAAACCCATTCTAAGCATTCTCACGCCCCTATACTTGAGATGGTGCCCGCGCCTGGTCATGAAGCCCTATAAACCCTACACCCTACTGATCAAGGGTTCTACTGATGCGGCAGCAGAGATCCTACAAAATGATGCCTGGCGACGGATGGCGTGAAACCCAACCCATTCGTCCCTCCCCGCTTTGTTAAGCACCACCCCAAACCAGAAAACCAATTGACTCTCATCATCGCCGTTTAGAATCTGATGTCGATGAGGGAAGTCCGTCAGGAGGAAGAGAAGGAGCAAGAGCAGGAGCAAGAGCAAGATCCCCCGGTAGAGATAGAAGTATGAGTGGAGTCTTAGGGATAGGTTCGGTGTTTAGGATCTAGGATTTCGTGTTAAGGGTTTAGGGTTTTAGGGTTTAGGGTTTGGGGTTTAGGGTTTGGGTTTTAGGTTTGGGGTTTCGGTTTAGAATCAAGCTAATAGCAAAATAACTCCCGAGGTTGTCTATTGCCCTCCGTCAGTTACTGTAGTATTAGGGTGCAAGGAATTCCAGTCTAAAATCAAGGGCCTCAGCAATCAAGCTAGGGTTTGGGTGTATATTACACTACAGTTGTATCATCCTAAACTCTAAACAGTAGCATTAAGGACTCCATGGGCCCATCACGGTTTAGATATCCTCAGGCTAGACTTAGCTAGCTTGAGCCCTAAATCCGTTCACATCTTCGACCTACAGTACACCCCACGGAATTGAAACCCAAATTCCTTGGCCGTGACCTTAGTCCGTGCTCCCAGAGGTTTAGCGTTTAAGTTCAATTTCTGATTTCACATGTATAGCCCCAACCTCTATACCCGGAGCTACGCACCCAGAGCCCTTGAAACCAACGAAACCCAGACGGCCGCAGCCCGAGAACCTGAGACCTAAACGCCAAGACCCCAAACCCACCCTGGCATGGTTTAGGGTTTAGGGTTTGGGGAAGACCCCAAACCCGAAACATGCAACTCAACATCGAAAGCCCTAGAGCCTGCACCGTAAAACTGCGGGTCCACCGCTAAACCATCAGCCGCAAGCTCGGATGCGGATCAAGTGCTGCTGTCTCAGGCGCAGGGAGGATCAAAAGCGATGCGCCAGGAGACCGTGCAGAGCGAACGGATTGCTTCCAGCTTCTTAATGTCAGTTTTCTGGGCTTCAGGCCGTCATGCTTGGAAAGAACACTCCAATTCCAGGTGCTTGTTTTTTGTTTTGTTTTGGTTGGGCTTGCATTGGGGCTTCGCGGTTGTTCGTGGCGTTGTAAGGCATCAGGCAGAAGTTTCAGTGTAGCTTCGTTTCGTGGCCGTGGTCGGCAGCCGGTGGAGTCAGGAGCAGAGGAGCAGGAGAGGTAGCAGCAGCGGTAGTCGCACAGTGGGAGCAGCCTTGTGTTTCGATATGGTCCGGGAGGGCTTCACTTTTCCAGGACTGGGCAGAAAGAGCTCGTTGTCCCCGTCCATGTCGGGGAATGTTCGCGGCCTACTGTCATTCGCCAAAGATCATCCAGACGCAGCTTGTCCAATTTATTGGGATGATGGTCTACTCAAAGGATGGGCATGCATACTAGTTGAGCAGTTTGTGTCTGGGGTCAAGAGTAAGCTGACCCCAGTAGGGGTACTTCTACTAGTTAAGTCTGTCCATTCTTATATTTTGCCCACGAACTTCTGTACACCCGCCCCCCAAGAGCCCTGCTCATTTCGATGGTGGAATCCTGCTTGTGTGGGTTTTGCTCATGGGGAGGGGGGGCAGTCTCAGCAATCAGGCGATGCAAAACCCCAAGCCCGAAAGATGTTTCGACCGAAAAGAGAACAAGGCAACCAACGAAAATCTTAGTAATTAGAATAGGGTTTGGAAGTATGTTATGTTATAACTGCAACAAGACCCCCCCCCCCAAAGCACGATTCTAATTCTCAAGGCCCCTAGACTAACCCGAAGCCCTGTACTTGCTTTAAAGTCGCTATCAAGAAGAAGAAAATCACAGGCCATACGAAGGGTCCAGGAAGTAAGGCATGGATTCAAGGGCTTCTATGAAGTTCCGGGAAATCCTACAGAGCAGAAGCCTTTGGAGGACCCTATGTTACCTGCACCCTGAGTTCTGGTCGTCCTGCACCCACGCTTCAGTCATGACCCATCGCCAGGCATTCAAGCTCTCTATCGAGGCAAGTGTTCTCAATCTAGGGGCCTAAATAATCACCAACACGATTTTGTAAGCCCTACTCTAATTATCAAAAGAGGTTTCGATGTGTGGGGTGTTTAGTAAGCCCTGTTCTAATTATTAAAAGAGGTTTCGATGTGTGGGGTGTCTAGGCTCCAATCACGCTCAGGGCCCAGGGTTTGGGGTTGGACTCGAGTTAGTTGGCACAGGAAGCGTCTGCTCCGGTCCTCCATGGAAGGTCATGGAACTCAGTAAGTAAGGCTACAAGGACCTGAATTGCGAGTCTGCATAATAATAAGCCAAGTTATACTGGGCCTTGGAGTAGCATACTTTAATACTTTTGTTTGGGATCTGTTCCTTCAAGGAACCATTATGAAATAAAAGTCTGTACTTTTTTTACTTCAAGGCCCAGTATAGGCCCAGTCCGACAATGATGACTCTAGTGGATTCATGGCGTGCCTGGACCCCACAGAACCTGTATTTTGGTGGTGGTCCCTTCCATAAAACGGCAAGTTTGGGGGTTTCAGGTAGGGTTTCCTGACAGTCAAGGTGTAGGGTTTAGGGCTATTTTGGCTTTTATGCTTAGGGTTCGGGAGTAGGGTTTAGTGTTTGGAGTTCAGGCTTCGTCGGAATTCTAATCAGCAGAGTCATTGGCTCACGTCTTAGAGAACCGCGATCTGATGAGACTCGCGGTATAATGGTTCCTTTACAGGGCTCTAAGTCTAGGTAGGCCTCTGTGACACTTGATAATTTCCCTCATTGGGGCTTGGATTAGGAGGACCTTATTGGCGAATATTGTTCAACGGCTTTCATACAGGACCAACCTAGTGATTCAAAAAGCCCGAATGCAAACTCCCGAACCTCTAAACGCCCAAGCCCAATTTCCTAAACTCCAAGCCCCTACCCCATCTCCTAAACTCCTAAACCCTAAAACCCTAAATCCTAAACTCCTAAAGCCCTATAAACCCTAAACCGTAAACTCTTACACCCTAAACCTTAAACCTTAAACCCTAAACCCTAAATTTCTAAATCCTAAACCCTAAACTCCCATAGGCTCTAAAGTCTGAACCCCAACCTAAACCCTAAACCCTAAACCCTAAACCCTAAACCCCTAAACCGTGCCCCAACCTAGGCCCGAAGCTTGAGAACTCTGTGCCTTTAGGGGTTTAGGGTTTAGGGTTTAGGGTTTAGGGTTTAGGGCTTAGTTTGCCCCTCCGACCCTCCAAGTGACCTAAGCCACGTATCCTCACTGCTCAAGACATCGGTTAAGGGTTTAGGGTTTAGGGTTTAGGGTTAAGGGTTTAGGGTTTAGGGTTTAGGGTTTAGGGTTCAGGGTTTAGGGTTTAGGGTTCAGGGTTCAGGGTTTAGGGTTTCGGTTAAGGGTTTTTAAGGAAGCAACACATTTTTTCATTCTCAGCGGTAGAACCTGGTGCGGGTGCGTGCCTAGAGTTTAACTCAAGCTTGAGGGTGAAACGGACGCAACGCTCTTCAAATTAAGCAGCGACTCTTTCTCTGCTTTGGGGTTTAGGGTTTAGGGTTCTCTGCTCAGAGGAATATTCCGCAAGTCAGGGACGCTAGACTACCCTTTATAACTCAGTAAAGCCTACAGAGCCCAATGCCTGAACTTCCTAAACCCTTAACCCTAAACCCTCAACCCTAAACTCCTAAACCCCTAAACCCTCAACCCCTAAACCCTAGATCCTAAACCCTACACCCTGAACCCCTGAACCCTAAACCCTGAACCCTACACCCTAAACCAACAAGCTAAAACCCTAAACCCTGAACCCCGAGCCCTAAACCCTAAACTCTAAACCCCTGAACCCTAAACCCCTTACCCCCTAAACCCTTAAACCCTAAACCCTAAAGCAGTCACCCTGAACCCTAAACCCCTAAACCCTCAACCCTAAACCCAGGAGCCTGAAGCCTAAACCCGGAGGTGCTGCGCATGCAAGATGACATCAAGCGCGACTCTTGGCTCGGCTCCCGACCGGCGGGTTTAGGGTTTCTTCATTGGGATCAGGGTTTAGGGCTTAGGGTTTAAATTTAAAGGCTTCCTTTCAAGGGGTCTAGAGGGTGTTTTCGGGTTAAGGGTTGAGGGCTTAGAGATTTGGGTTTGGGGTTATAGGGTTTAGGGTAAAGTGCTTAGGGCTTAAATGGCTACCTTCCGGATTCCGTAAGAAGGCTGGCCAGTATCCGCAGAAGTTCCACTCCACCAACACTCCTTAAGAGCATAGACGAGGAGCTAAATCCTTGAGCCCCACTTTATGGGCTTTTTGACGTACAGGTAGCTCCACCGCCGATCCCAAACAACGAGAGCTTAAGTTAGCCATAATGTGGTAGGGCGATGCCTTCGTGGTGATCTATGTTGTAAACCCCAAACCCTAGAACAGAACCCGAACACTAAACCGGAAAAGATCTGAGGAGAATGCGAGATCCAGTCCAACTCTGAACCTCTCTATGACCGGCCTGCCCATCGGCGAAAGGTTTAGGGGTTTTAGGGCTGCTAGGTTGGGTTTGGGGGCTCATTGTAGGAATCAGGGTTCATGTTCGGGTGTACTAAACCCTAAACCCTCAACCCTAAACCTCGGGTCAGGATTCATTTGTTTTAGGGTTTCGGGCTTAAGATTTAGGTTCGGGGTTTTTGGGCACGGAGTTCAGGCTTAAGGGGTAGAGGTCTTCTGGGTTTAGGAGTTTAGGGGTTTAGGGGTAAGGGTTTAGGGGTTTAGGGTTTAGTATAGGGGTTTAGGGTCTAGGAGTTTAGGGGTTTAGGGTTTAAGGGTTCAGGGGTTTATGAGTGTAGGGTTTGGGGTTTAGGGTTTAGGGCTTTGGCCTCAAACGGGTTCCTATTTAAGTACCTAAGGGTCCAAGTGGTTTTTGAAAATAAATATGGTCACAGGGAGCCATAGGGTTTTCGGAGCTCTACGTAGGTCAGGGTTTAGGGTTCAGGGTTTAGGGTTCAGGGTTTAGGGTTTAGGGTTCAGGGTTTAGGCTTCAGGGCTCAGGGTTTAGGGTTCAGGGTTCAGGGTTGAGGGCTGCTGTAACACGCTTTGAAGCCATACTGAGGTTTAGGGTTTAGGGGGTCTCGGTTTTCGGTAATGGCTCACGCCTACATGAAGCTCCACACCCAAAGCGCTCGATCCAATCTACCCTAAACCCTAAGCGCTTAACCTTAAACCCTACAAACCCCAAACCCTAAACCCTATAACCCCAAACCCTAAACCCTAAACCCTAAGCGCTTAACCTTAAACCCTATAAACCCCAAACCCTAAACCCTAAGCGCTTAACCTTAAACCCTATACTGTAAACCCCAAACCCTAAACCCTAAACCCTAAAACCCTTAGCCCACACCCGAGAGACCCTAAAACTGCCGAGCCTAGGAGCGCGCGTCAAGTCTCCGCCGCGGATGGATGGGGCAGCCGTCAAGTCTCTGCTGCTGATGCATTGGGCAGTCGTCAAGTCAGTCAAGCCTCCGGCGTGGATGCATGTGGCGGCCGCCAAGTCTCCGATGCATGGCTCTCCAGTTACTCCTCCGCTGCTGACGCATTGGACGGAAGCACCTCTTCAGTCCGATCTGGCGAAGAAGCTCAGCACCTCGGCTGTGTTCTTGTCTTTTCTGCTGGCTGTGATCATCTTTGTCATGTTGCTGTTGCTGCTGTGGTGGGTGGTGAGGGTAGTGCTAGCAGCGGCATTGGTGGTGGCGGCGGCAGTGGTGGTTGCTGGTGCTGGTGCTGGTGCTGGTGGCGGTGGGTGGTTGGCTGTTTTCGGTTGGCTGTTGGCGGTGGCGGAGGCGGAGGGTGGCGGCGGTGGTGGTGGTGGCGGTGCTGTTATCTTTAGGATGCCGTCCGCTTGCTTTAGCGCTCATGATGTGCATCACGGGCTTCGTTTCGTTGTCCAGTAGCTTCTTCAGACTTTCACGCCCTCTGGAATTTGTGGGTTTATGGTTTATGGCCTGAGTTAATAATTGTGCATGTTGAATCACAGGACAATTCCTAACTCTAACCCTGCAGCCTAAACCCTCACCCTTGAACCCTGTCTTCAAATTTCCCGAAGCGCTACGAAGAGCAGCCGAAGTCCTTCAAAACCACGACGTGCCCTTAGCGGCTTACATTACTCTGGATAGACTCCACAGTCCAAGCCCTAAATTTAAACCGCAACGAATTTCCCCAAATCTTAACCCTACACGCCGAAACCCTTTGCATTCCTTCCCTTGCAGCATGTAGGATGTTTGTTACTAAGTCTCTTCAAAATAGAATCCAAACATATCCAAACACATACATCACTCTTGAGGACCCCCTACATACACCCACCCAAACCCCTTTGTTATCCCTAAGCCGCCGAAAATCTCTGCAGAACCCCGGTAGAACTTTCCTCAAAGGGAACCTTCCAAGTCAAGGCCGGTTTAGGGTTTTAGTGCTTTAGGGTTTTAGGGTTTAGGGTTTAGGGTTTAGGGTTTTAGGGTTTAGGGTTTTAGGGTTTAGGGTTTAGGGTTTAGGGTTTAAGGGTTTAGGGTTTGTGTCCCAAGTACAAATCCCGGTTTCGGGTTCAGGGTTTAGGGTTATGTGTTCTGCTCCGAGCTTCAGATTTCAGCCGCTGTTGCCAGGAAGTCGCGCAGCCGAAGTCACTCGTCTCGCAGCCGAAGTCACAGTCACTCGGCTGCAGTGTAGGGGCTAGGTGATTGGGTGGTGTGGTATTTAGGGATTTGGGTTAAGGATTTTGGGGAGTTGGTCGTGTAGCGTTTGCGATGGAATTACTGCATCCGTAGTTATACCTCTCCCTTGATCAAGGATAGTTCAGGATCATCATACGGATGTTAGTATGACGGCTCTTTGAAAGGTTGGCAGTTTATTATGGTTTGTTCGAGCTTTAGATGGGATGTGAGACGATGCGCGGTCTGCTGAAAGGGTTGGTAGCAACTCCTAGACCCTAAACCCTAAACCCCTAAACCCCTAAACCCCTAAACCCTGAACCCCTGAACTACCCTAAACCCTAAACCCTAAACCCGAAAGCCCCAAACCCTAAAAAAAAAACCCTAAACCCCTAAACCCTAAACCCGAAAGCCCCAAACCCTAAAAAAAAAAACCCTAAACCCCTAAACCCTAAACCCGAAAGCCCCAAACCCCTAAACCCAAAAGTCTGGTGGCAACGGAGTTGGAGGCTTGTTGGTGTCTCAGGATTCTACCTGTTTTGGGGGGTCTACTAGTCTAGAATAAAATGGGAGTTTCCGAAAATTAGGGGTGCCATATTTTTGGGTCTATATATATATATATATATTAAAGATCCTATTATTTAGGGTACTATATTAGGGTCCCCTATTTTCTGAAGCTGCCATCTTAAGAAACCCCTCAAAACCTATTATTGAGGCCCCTACATTAATGTTGACAAGAAGGTTATGAAGCATACTACAGCACAGTACAGGTAATTATTCTACTCAAGAACCTAAGGAACAGAATTGGTATATTTATTCAGGCCCCTAGATTTTACTGCAGACACTGTGAAGGCAAAGAGCTCATCAAGGTGGATGCGGCCGGCGCTGTCACGAGCTTCTCTTCAGCGAAAGAGCTGACGAGGAAGCTCAAAAAGGGTGGCCACTGCATCGTCTCATTGTGACCCCTTCTCAGAGCCAGAGAGCCCCGTCTGATTCGCTTTAATATAGAAGCCTACATAGTTGCCAATATTATTCTTTAGGATTCCTTATCATACTTACACTGTAAAGGACCCCAGAACCATATTCAAAGTATTAAGGCCCCTACATTATGTGGATTTTCAGGGTGCTGTTGGGCTCTCTGGGTGAAATTCTCCACCGGCCAGGCGTCCGCTACATCCGAGGTCTGGATGTGCACTTCCTCTTTTCAAGACGCCGCGTAGCCAACGTGTCCGCAGAGAGTTGAGCATCGGACCCCTTTAGGGTTTAGGGTTTAGGGTTTAGGGTTTAGGGTTTAGGGTTTAGGGTGCGCATCACTCTGAGGCCCTTTATTACTCGACAGCCCATGGCTTCTTCTATGTTTCAACTCCCAAATCCCGCCATCTCTACATCGGCAAACCCCCACAGTTTCTGAATCCCTGGATGCCTAAATCTCTGCTTGGAGGATCATGGGACTTAGTACGTAAGGTTATAAGTACCCTAATTGGGGTTCTAAGTAATTATAAGTCTAGTTACCTTATTTATAACCCTAGTTACTAAGTCCCCTGAACCTCTAAGTACGCCCTTGAAGCAGAAACAAAGAGTGCGACTAGGATGGCTCACCTCCTGTCGCTGGTTCAAGGATCAGGGGGCCTGGGTTACGAAGCGGGCTAGAACCGCCGCTCTAACCCCCCCACGGGTCCCTGTACCCTTGCAGTATATGCTTGGGCCTAGAGGTCTAGGGTTTAGGGTCTATAAAGTACCTAAACAGGGACGACATCAGGGTTTAGGGTCTTGGGTTGGTCCCCTGATCCTACAAGTTGTAAACTACACCCAGCGGGTTCCTTCGAGGCATCCGCTGCGTGACTGGCAGTCCCGGGCTCGCACGAAATGGATTAGGGTTTAGGGTTTAGGGTTTAGGATTTAAGCCATCCTTCAGAGTGTCTTTGTCTTTGCTTGAAGGGTATACTTGGAGGATCATGGGACTTAGTAAGTAAGGTTATGAGTACCTTCATTGGGGTTATAAGTAATTATAAGTCTAGTTGCCTTATTTATAACCCTAGTTACTAAGTCCCATGAACCTCTAAGTAGGGTTGAGGGTGTAGGCTGATTTGGGAACTCCCTTGCCTTAATGCGGACTGTGATAGGCGTCCTCATCGTCCCGTATTGAGGCCCATAAGGAAAGATGCTACTAATCAGGGTTCTACATTAACTCGGGTTCCTGGTTAGAGGCAGCCGGGTTCAGGATAAGACTCTTACCCATCGTTTTGGGTTTAAGGGTTTCGCACCACTGCACTTTCCTTGAGGGTCCACTACCATCTACTACTTAATCATCATGTCATGTGCTTCTCAAAGACTAGGACCTGCACTGCTAGGATCCCAATTCCGATCGTTCCTGGCTCCTTTGCAAACCCTAATGCCTAAACCTTACACCCTAAGCCCTAAACCCCAAACCCCTAAACCCTAAACTGCCCTAATTGGAACTGCCATCATTCGAGATTGCTGACCCGCTTTCTGGTTTCTGTCCCATCCACCCGAAGCACCCAAAACCTCGCTTTTCAGGGACAAGAGTGACTAGAAGTAGCTGTAGACCCTACACCCCTAAACCCTAGACCCTAAACCCTAAACCCAAACTCCGTCCTTAAAGGTCTGCGATGTTTGCGTGGTAGGCTCGGGCCTGCCGTTTGCGATGTTTGCGTGGTAGGCTCGGGCCTGCCGTTTGCGCCACTTTTCCCTAGATTGTACAGAACCCCCCCTCCCTCAGCCCCGGAACTACGAAAGCTGACCCCACACTTTTTCACCTAAACCCCTAGACCCTAAACCATCCTGAACCCCATACTTTAAAAAAAACCCTACCGGAGACCCTATCCTAGCTAGTGTTAAGGAGACCACCTAAACCCTAAACCCTAAACCCTAGACCCTAAACCCCTAAACCCCTAAACCCTAAAGTCGAAGTTGTGCTTCCTTGCCGGGCCGGGCCCTGGCTTCGAAACCGGTTTCCCGAAACGTCTCGGGTCAGCATTTGGGTATGTTCTTCAATTTGGAGTCCCTTTCTAGGTCCCCAAAATTAAGCCCTAAACCCTTAAACCCTAAACCCTAAACCCTAAATCCCTAAACCCTAAACCCTTGTAGAAAGGATCCTCCAGGGGACGCTAGTTCGAGAACTGCCCATGTCCCATGGCATTTTCAGTGTTCTGGCGGCTCCCTCTTCGCGGCCTATGGCCCTGGTCCGAGACTTGAAGAATTGCGAAGGAAGATGTTTGGGGCTTTGGGTCTAGGGTTTAGGGTTCAGGGTTTAGGGTTTAGGGTTTAGGCTCTAGTGGGGTTTATGGGTTGAGGGTTTATAGTTTAGGGTTTTGGGTCTAGGGTTTAGGGCTGCGAGTGTTTAGGGTTTGGTCGCGGAGTTAAGCCAGGACAGTGAAAAAGATTCGCTACATGCCAGCGAAGCCAGAAGCGAATGATCACGCCCGGACAGCCCAAAAGCTCTGAGGTGAAAGCGTTTAGGGCAAGGGATTTTGGGTTAAGATTGTATCGACACTTTAAACCTCAGCAGAGCCTTAGGAAACGATTTATTCCTAAGCTCCCCGACGGCTTCTGGTTCTCTCGAACCTCTTTTTTGAAACGGAGAACCTGCGTCCGAGGTGTGTGGTCTCAAGAGATAAGATGCAAGGCTGTAAGGCTCCCAACGAGGGTTTAGGGTTTAGGGTTTAAGGTTTAGGGTTTAGAGTTTAAGGGTTTAGGGTTTAGGGTGTAGGGTCAAGATACAAACCCTAAAACATAAACCCACAAGGCATACAGCTCCCTTTGTTCTGGTATCGCTGTTACTAAGCATGAGCCCCCAAGCTTCTAGACCCCAACCCTGCATAAACCCCAAACTCCCTAAATCCCTCATACACAAGACACTAGACCTAGAGGGTCCATAACATACTACTATTATGGAGTTAGGTCCCCAAAATCGCAGTAAGG